AAAACCGCCTCCAGGAAGCATTTTATGTACAAGGCAATCTATTTAGATAAAATTAAAGAAAAATGACGATGATGATGAATTTACTTCACATGTCTTAAGAGTCTATTACGCTGTACTGTTCGGGTTGCTCTCAGGGGTCGGGTAAAGCGGGTGTGTGGTCGAAGGAAATATATATTATATTTCGGAAATCTGCCTAAGTCTTAGCCCGACGCTGTTGGATGGCCACTTAGCACCTCGTGTTAAACCACACCCAAAATTCCATAAACACGTTGTTTGATTAAGGCTTGATTAAGGTTTGCAGAGCTTCAGCATTTGCTATAAAATAGCGAGCAATTTGTTACAAAACCATATAAATAATATATCACTGTAATCACAAAAGTTCAATCTTTTTCCGTGTTTTAACGGAATTTCAAATTATGTCTTTATTTTCGAGAAAATTTAGTCCATAAATATGGAATATTTTGTTGATGTTTGACCATCAAAATCTTAAAAATAAAGAAGTTGTTGTTGAAAATGTGCTACAATACGAATATAGTTTAATCCTTTATGTTTAATTTCCTTCATTTGTGTAGAAATACCTAGCCAGTTTTACATAAAACGTTAAATGCCGAACGCATTTCGGACTAGTGAAATGAACTCTTAACATGCAAAGCTTTAAACAATATCAAGGATACTCACGTCAATCTGGCAACGTCCTCGGCTACACGGTAGGTCGCCGAAGTGGCCTGGGGCTCCATGAGACCGGCTCCGTGGCCTCGTACCCGGCCCGCCCGTGGTTGTTTTTCCAAGGGAGTAGATACCTGAACGCACTTTACACTTTGAAATTGATGTTACCGTTCGAGACATCACCACACACAAACAGATACACAACACATATCGCACCGACTTTCTTTTGAATGCAGTTGGAAAAGGAAATCAAAACACCTTTGTATATTTTTGTAAAGTCCTATCTATAAACATTTGTACTTCATTTTTAGCTACTGATGCTCTGAGATTTTGACTCTAGATTATTTATTTAAATTTCTTTCATTTGTCTTGAAGTTTTTATTTTAACAATAAAATATCTATTATCATCCATTGTGGTCTTCCACAATCACTTAATTCAATTCATTGTTGTCTTCAACAAATTGGAGACTATAAAAACTAAACACAGATATAGATATACCTTCATATGTTCTTCAAATTGTTTTCATTTAGATACTTTAAATTTTATTATATTATTTGAAGTTAATTCGTTAATAATATGGTAATAAATTTCAAATTACATACTCAAATCAGGGTACTAAAATTTAAATCAACGGATTTTCATTTTAATCGTGGATTTTAAATTAAAAAAAATCCGCTTGTAAAAACTTATTATCAATCGAAATACAACTGTAGTATGAATGCCTTTTTAGTATACGTAGTATACGTATGCCTTTTCGTATGAATCAAACAACCTTTGACCTTTGACAGTTAACTACTTTGACAGGTTAACTGACCTAACCTAACCAATATATTAAGTTTCCCATTAAAACAAATACTGATACAGAATTATGGTAAAGAAAATTATAGAACTTTTTAATATACGAGTATATAAATTTGGGTCAGAATGTCCTAGGACGTTGTCCGATGCCTAATTCCCACCCTGTGCGACTTTCCCATTGATCTTCGGTCAGATTTTTCTCGCTCATCGATCTTATTCCATCTATCTATCCATGTTTTCTTGGGACGCGACGTCCTCTCTTTCCTTTACCAGGTGATATCTAATAAAATACTCGTTAGGGAATTATTTTGGCCGTACCATATTAATTCTTTTGTCCTATGTCATTCATTACTATTCCCTCTGTTCCCATCTGTCGTCTAATGTCTTCATTTCTGATATTATCCTTCCGTGAAATTCTCATTGCTCTTCTAATCGCGTCCATTTCTGTTGTCTCTAATTTCATTTTATTCCTTTCAGTGAGTCGCCATGTTTCACATCCATAGAGTAATATGCTTTTAAGTAGTGTCTCGTATACAGGGTGGTCCGAACTGTATTCCGGAAACTTCGGCAGGATATTCTGCAGATAAAAATAAGTAAAAAAGTTCGTATAAATGCATGTCCTAAAATGCTTAGGTTCGGACATACAGGGTGTAGAAGTTTTATTTTTATTTCGATTTTTTGCAAATAATTTCTGAAGGAACGTCAATATTTGGATAAAAATTGGTATCTGGGAGTTTTTGACATCAAAAATTTGATTTTGATGTCACTATGACTCCTACTTGTACGGGGCGCCATCCACATATTTTTTAACTGGTTTGAAAAATAATAACTTTTCGTTCGTATCTGTATAAAACTACTGTGTTAGAAAATATACATTTTCGATGTCTTTTACGTAAAAAAGGTCTCTTGGTAAAAATTGCTACGAGTAATGGTTGTCGAGATAATTGGAACCTAAATTATCAATACGTGTCATCGTGTCATCATTGACATAAATTAAACATGTTCCCTAAATAGTTATTAGACTGAAATCATAAATTTGAAATGTTCTTGTGCCAAAAGTTCAACAGAGACTGTTCTGTCATCATTTTTTCGAAGAAAAATTTATGATTAATTTAAAAAAATAAAGAGTTCCCAAATTTATCATTTCAGTCAAATAACTCAACATATCATATGTTTGTATCTCATATTTTTGTCAATAATGACATGTATTGACTATTTCCATTCTAAATATCTTGAGGACGGTTGCTCGTAGCGATTTTTACCAAGAGACATTTTTTATGTAAAAAAAACATGGAAATGTAATGTTTTCACTCAGTAGTTTAATACAAGTACGGACGAAACGTTATTACTCTTCAAAACAGTTAAAACACAGGTAGGTGGCGCCCCCTACAAATAGGAGTCATATTGACATCAGAATCAAATTTCTCATGTCAAAAAACTCCCAGACACCAATTTTCATCCAAATATTGACGTTACTTCACAAATTATTTGGAAAAAATCGAAATAAAAATGAAACTTCTACACCCTATATCTCCGAAACTAAGCATTTTAGGACATACACTTACACAATTTTTTTTTCTTATTTTTATTTGCAGAATATGTTGCCGAAATTTCCGGAATACAGTTCGGACCACCCTGTATAGTTCGTTTGTTTTTAACTTACAAAGTTACTAAACAGGCGTAAAGACTTTCTATTTCCACGACAGATGTAAATTAACCCCCTGAAATATTTTTATATGCCTACAAATCGGTCCCAAAGGCGTAATTTACTCGATTCTCCTACGCATCCGACTGAAAAAACAAAATCGTAGTTTATTTTCTAGAAAACTTATCGTACGCAGCATATTTTATGGGCTTTTCTTGCCCAAAAAGAAAAGAAAATCTCATTCTTCCGGACTTCGTTCTTATCTTTTAGGTTTACGACTTTTACATGAAAAGTTCATAAAGAATGCATAGGATGTCACTTTGCATATTGCAAACTTTCACTGGCGTTCTATGTATTCGAAACGAAAACTCGCTGGCAAAGTTAATAAGAAGTCGATTTTTGTAAATATCTCGTCTCCAAAATGCTCCAAAATGAGTGTGTATTTTTTTAAAAGAAAAACAAAAACTTACTAATATTTAATTAGATTCTGATATAAAATTTATACTGTGTTTTTTTTAATTGTTTGGACCGAAAAAAAAACTCAACAGAAGCCCTTGTTTTAAATTAGGCTACGTTACGCAAAATTTATTTGCATCTTCAGGACACTACAAGTTAAGAGAGAGCAAAATACAATCAAAAAATTTAAAAAAATTAAAAAAAACTCAAAAAGCATATCTCAGTGAAATTCCACACATGTAACGTTTTCTTGACACAATGCAAACGGCAGCTTTTCGTCTTTGGGAGCAGTCGTAGGTTCGTTTTTTCTTTTTTTTATTAGGTGTTATAATTAATCAATAAAACAATAATTATTGGGCGCCAGGACATTCACTCAGAAATAATAGATCTCTTTACCCCAACTTAAATTTATTTATAATTAAAAAAATATTAGACAAGGACAGTAATTGATGTGGATGAAGTTAGGTTTTTAAAATGAATTAATATTTAAGAAAAATAAGTAACCAACATTTAAATGTATGATAAAAAAAATAGTATCACTTGCTTTGTTGATCAAATATCATTGACATTATTAACATAAAATTACGCAAAATAAAGTTAAATAAGTACCTCAAACTAACGCAGTTCATGAACCTTGTTGTATGCGCACATAATTCCGTCAATCAATCAAAAGTTAATTAAATAAATATGTCAAGTGACACCATCACAAAATACTTGACAAGATATTAAAATATATAAAAATTTCTATATTTAAAATTAAGAAAATTATATTTTTTTTTGAGGTTCAAGTTAACGTCTCCTTTCTGCTGCAATGGCTAAACTGGACGGGACCTACTTGTTTACGCGGAATCCGAACCGCGGTCCTCGGCCATATCATGGTCAATGGCCAACCGACTTAGGAAGTGTCTAAATTAACTCTTACTCACGAGATATCCGATCTCATCCGGCCTTGAACCGGCGTGAATGAGCAGTGTGTATCAATAGATTTTACACTTTTCCCTTTTGGACAACAGCACGATGCAAAGTTTCGAACCGGTCACCCGTCCATCCACTAGCATCGCCTTACGTCGCTTAACTTCGGTGTTCTAATGGGAACCGGTGTTTCGACGTTAGCTGGGCCGTGGCCCAAAATTATATTTTAATAATGAAATTCAAAATTGATATCTAATAATTACATAATTAATTACGTAATTCGTCAACAGTAAGTAAATAGATTTGAGATGAGTTATTAAAAAAATGTGAAATCTGGCCTGATTATCCGGTGCAATTCCAGGCTTTGGCTCGTCCTTCTGGATGGTGTGTGGACGCTAGGTGTGGGAGCTCATCCCCAATCTACCACAGCCTCGAACAGCCCCTTACAATACCACCAGCCATGTGGAAATCAAACATGGATCATAGATACAGGCTCTCGTACCTCAAACCACCAATCACGACATATAACTCGCCATGTAACTGGGCGGTAAAACCCTGGAAACGACACAACTTATGCACAAAATGCATTTTAGAAATTTTAAAACTTACCTCACAATGCTGAGGGTTTACTCAAAAATTAAATTCATGACAGGACAACCAAAACCACGTTTAGAGAATCTATAAAGAGATAAGGTTGAACCAAAAGAGTAAAAATGTGATGAAGATCAAACTTACCACAAAAATACCCATGAAAACTTAAAATTGATTCCTTCCCCAAATGCCAGGAACCACTAGGACTACATTCCAAAAGTTAATAGAATTAAAAAGTTTAAACTTTTTCGGATGACTTCAGATAAGTATGTCGATGTTTACGCCACGAAATCTGAATCAAAAATGGTGACTTCCGATGGTCAAAAAGATGCTCTAGTTCTGCGCCGACAAAGGCAAGTACGATCCACAGAGTGTCCGAAATTAGTCAGAACTAATTCGGTAGGGTGTATGTTGGGTTGCCAATAGTATCGTTTTATTAAAACGTTACACACATTTGGTAAAACTACCTTAATGTTAACAATTAAATAAAATATATTATGTATATGTTACTCACATTTAAATCTGGATTTTCTTTGTCATTTTCATTATACGGATAAGTGTCCTGAAGATTTTAGATCTCTGCGAAGATATAAAAAACTAGATCAAATTCATACTAAAGTTATCTCAAAAATCATTTTGTATCGATTATGGTCCTGAGTCAGAAAAAAAATAAACTGTCCATTTAAGGAAACAACTTAAATCTGACACAATAGTGGAAAGTTCAAAGATTCAGCTTATATATTCAAATTTATACAGCCAATACTTCAAAGAAATCCATAACTAGACACAAAGTTGTAAGTATTTATTTTAATTTCCACCAAGGTTTCCACTATACCGTGTGCGTCTCGAAAGTGGCTCAGTTCCTGGTCAAAAAGTTATTTTGGTCACTTTCTGTTACGCCGGAAATGACTACAACTTTTGATTTTTAAATGGCACCTTCGGAATTTTTTTTTTACTTTACTCGAAACCATACATACCGCCATTACTCGCTGACGAGTATTTGACACGCATCAGAAGATGGTCACGCAAGGCGTTTTCTTTCATGAGCTTTTCTGTGACTGAAAAGCCCGATACGTGATGTTATCTGTCCACCACACTCCAGACATTCAAAAATCTCACCGCTCTGCTGCCCCCCTACCTCCCGGTTGTCGCTCTCTACTTTACTCGATAGAAAATGACACTCGTGTCATTCATCGTGAATCATTACTGAATAGAATAACATATCATATGTCAACTTCTGAGATTTTCGCTTTAAAAAAATCGTATTTTAAATTTCAATCTAGAGTGCCATGGCTATGCTAAAAACAATAATTGTTAATCAAGGAGCCTTGGATTTAATCAAGGAGCCTTGTCCTGGTCGGTTAAAAGATGCCCAAATCGTATCTTTTATCTTTAATCATATCTCCATTTTTTCAAATAGAACGAGAGTGGCTTATTAGAATATTTGGAAAAAGCAATTTTTTACAAATAATTTGGTACCACAAACTTAGTACTTCGAGTCAAGTTGTCGTTATGAACCGCATGTTACAATTATGCAATTATGCCATATTATACCATATGCGAAAATGTCAAAAGTTGACATATGAAATATCATTCTATTAAGAGTGGCATTTTCTATCGAATAAAGTAGAAATATACCGAGGGTGCCATTTCAAAATCAAAAGTTGTAGTCATTTCCGGTGAAACAGGAAGTGACCAAAAACAATTGAATACGTTAATCAATCCTACTTTATGTTATATACTAACATACCAAATCTCGTTTTTTTATCTAAAAAATAAAAAAGTTGTAGGGGTGAGCCACTTTTGAGACGCACCCGGTACCATAAAATCGAAAAAAAAAGAGGTAGAGATGACTTGGAAACAAAAATCGATGTCATTTTATATGTAAAATTATATGGGTAATGTCATCGACTGTCATTTGAAAGCCAACTGGACGCAGTTTTTTTATTATATGATATTTTCAAAAACGCAGGTGACCAAAACTAAAGTATTTGGAAAGTTTTTTTAAAAGGCTCTTTTCCGTATCTTTTTCCTCGCAAGAAGCACTGTATAGAAGCTCGAACCTCCCTTGATTTCCATTATGTGACCTAGATATTGAAGCTTCCTTTAGGGACTATTTTTTATAAGTAACCCTGTATAATTTAAAATTTAATAAATGATTTAAAATGTATTAGAATATTTATATTTGTATAGAAAGTAAAAAGTAAAAAATCAAATAAAACAGTCTCAAACGAAAATTGTTATATAAAACTTTTTCGGAGGAGTGGGCTACCCCGAGTAATCTAAATTTAAAACCAACAACAATCAATCTTAAACAGCCTCGTCGATATGCAATCTTTATATCTAAAAACAATTTCATTTGGGTCGTCGTTTCGTGTCTTTGAAACGTTTGATAAATTACCGAAACTTCAGTCAACAATGCAATTCGAAAACCCACTCTCGTTTAACAATATATCATGCAGGTTTATTAATGGAATGAATCTTTATCTTAATGGCAATAACATCAATGCCCACGTTTCTATTTCTTCTATTATTTCTCCCGTTATTGAAGTTAAATGTCAAGTAATTTCTACGTTATTACGAAGACTGTTTTCATTGGTTTTAATCGATATTGCCGTAAATGGAATGTTGCAGGGATAATTACATTATTTTATTCCACAGATTTTCTAGTATGCTGTTCAAAACATATAATTTTACATCTAATAAGTACTGGTCATATCTGGTGTGAGAGGGGGGAGCATATTGTCGACGTAAAAGGGCAATTCACGAAGAGGACTCTAATAAAAATGCTCAGAAAATTGGTTTAGTTAATTTAAAATAAGTAGTACAACGTAGCTATGGGTTGTTTAGTCTCATAGTCTGCTGTCATTTCAGCTTGATTAGATTTTATGTCAAAGATTCTGATCTATAAATTTTTCAGTGAACCCAAGCTCCTTATGAAGGTTCTGATCTTTTTTATCTCCCTAAATTAATTTCTTATTTTTTTTTCCTAGGCATTGATCACCAGGATCATTAGCCATATACAACTCGTTGTTGTTAACAATGCAATTAGAGGGATCTATTTCAATATCCAAGGAGTTCACTCTTACAAGGACAATTCAAAATTTAAAACTAGGTTGACATAAACATTTCAAGTTGAGTGACAAAAAGATCAAAAAAACTAAACACAAAAAAATAGAGAACCAAACAACACAAAAAAAGTAGGAAATTATTTACATCACAGTATCACAGTTGGACTAGAGTATCACAGTTGGTGATATAAATTAATATCTTTCATAAATTTCAAAATATTTTTAATTTTTTCTTTTTCAGTCAAATTTTCACGAATTTCACAATTCTTTCTACCGTATATTGAGGACATTCACATATTATAATGTGAGTTACTGTCAACTCAACATCACAGACTATGCACATTGGAGGTATTTCTCTTTTAAGCAAATATGCATGAGTCACCGCAATATGCCCAATACGAAGACGATGCACTCTGGATTCATTCGCTCGTCCTAGTGCAAGACGTAAGGATGGGGTTGACGGGATCCTGTTTTATTGCGCAAGGCTTTGAAGGTTTACCTGCCCACTCATTCTGCCATTCCCTTTCTGTTCTTTTATGCAGTAGTACTTTAAGATCATATTTACTAATATAAGGGAAATAATGGCATCCCTTCTACCAGCTTGCTGAGCAGCTTCATCTGCCATTGTATTGCCAAGTGTATTAGTGTGGCTCGGGACCCATATAAATGTGAGTTTGTTTCCCTTTTCGCTGCACTCGAATAAGCGTCTGATTTTTTTGTTTCAGAGGATCATGGACAAATATGTTATTAATTTTAGATACGATCTCTAAAGAGTCAGAAACAATTAAAACTCTAGATTGATTATATTCCTCGATGACATAGAATAAGGCTTTCCAGATCGCAAAATGTTCTGTGAAGAAAGCTAATGCTTCATGTCTCAAAGTCCATTGGAAAGCTGACCCGTTGGTAATAATTGCACATCCAGCACCAGTTTGTGTTTTGGAGCCATCAGTATAAATAACAATTTTTTCGTTGTACTGGTCTTAGTATTTTCTGGAACTTTCGTTGGTATATTTCAGGCGATGTGTCTTGACGTTTTAGTTTGTTCAGGTTTAATATTACTTCGGTTTCAGTTCATAGAGAATTTGCATAAGGGATTTCATTGATTATCATAGGTTCTTCCCTATGACGGGATAGCATTGTTTCTCTCACTATATAGCTAGGATTTGCCAATGCTGAAGTGAGGTAGAATTGCGCTAACTTCCTCCTTCTATATTTAAGAGGCTTTATTCTCGCTTCAGGACATAGGCTAGTTGCGGGGCTTGTGTAAAAAGCTTCAAGAGCTTGCCTTAAACATGCATTTTGTACGCGAAATCTATAAGTAGATTAGATATAGAAGTCTCTTGCAGAATTGCTGACACTGACACAGAAGGTGCCCTGTTTTTTTCGCTGTATTTTGGAATTAACGAAGTCTGTCATTTTTATAGATATCTAGGACTGTTAGGTCGTTTGTTTTTATTGAGTTTTCTTTTGACCTGAGCTGTTTCTATAATACTACTCCATTTAATATTTTGCGCAAATATATTGACATATTTTTTTGAACTTTTTTCTAAGTGGCATATTTTTAGCGATACTAATGTAAAAATGTCAAATTAAATTATTAACCCAAATACCCACATGAATTGGTATCCAAGTCCGTTTATTCTAACTGGCATACTAACTGGTCAGTTATTTGATGAAATGTAAACACTCCCAAGATGAATTAACGTGAGAGAGTATATGACTTGACTGTCGGATATAACATTTATGGGGCTTTGTATGTGAATTGCTGATGTTTTATTCGAAAAACAATATGGTAGCACGAAATTTATTAAAATTTAAAAACATTTTAATGATTAGGTATAGGACTCTTTAATCTGTCAGCTACCTACATAAAAGTACGAAGAAAATTGTAAAAATATTTGGATGTTTTTCGCAGAAATCGTCTGATATCAGGATGCTGAAAACAGCTCCTCATTTGACATTCTTCATTCTTTGCTTAAAAATATAATTACTAAATCAACTGATTTAAAGTGTTGCTGGAACTAAATCTTAAAAATAAAATATTTAATCCTAAAGTTACTAATAACATAGTTTGTTGATTTTGCAACATATCGTCGGCTTTATGACGAAAAGGCGTATCTCGATTTTTGCTACTTTTCAGGAGAGCAATTTAAAGAAAATCACTTACTTTATTTGGCCAATAAATGTAAAGTCTTTAATTTTTTAATAGTGTTTTTGTATTAACACTTAAACGGAGACATTCAGGAAACTTTCTGAAGATAAATTGA